GGAACAGCGATCTCCTAGCTCTCAGGACAATGAAGGGGTTGCTTTATGTTCCCCCCAAAAGTGTCTATTTTGCAAAAGCTGTCTCCTTGGTTGCCTATGTTTCATTTTAAAATTGCATTCAAAGACAAATAATCTAAAACCCTGTTGCCTTCTGAAAATCATCTAAACAAAACTCTCTTCCCTTAATGATTTTCAAAACTCTATCATTACCGTGTTGGATCTCTCACAAGATAGCTCTCAATAGAAAATGCATTGTATTTTGTCAAATTCTCTTTCTGTTCTTGAATGATATCTCTTTATAAACATTTAAAATTTTTGCAACTCTGTATGCTAAGATGAAAATCTGTATGTCTAGAGTAGTTCCAAGGGAAAATACATACTAGATGACTTTGTCGTTAAAAAGACATAAAACCCAGAATTATCATATAGTGACATTTCCATGTTTTTTACCATGAAAAAGTTGGTGATGTCAATCTACTGGTTATTTTAGGATTTCTAGTCAGGTGCTAAAAAATTAGATACTAGGAGATCAGTAGTCTGATCTTTTATCTTTCATTTGCATTTATCTTTCAAATCACTGAAATCACTTCAGTAACATCTCTCCCTCATGGAGAGAACAAAGGTGAGCAGGGAAGATCTGGGCAAGAGCTTGCAGGTATAACAGTGACAGGGTAGCCCATGTCTTGGCTGACTTTCCGACCCAGTGCTTTCTCAGTTGAAATCATGTGGGCCTTGGAACATATCACATGGGGAGTTTTCCATAGAGATCAAGGATTAAATTTAAAGAAATGGGGATTTTTTTCCCCTATGATATTTAACAAAATTGTTCTTCGATATGCAAAAAATACTAAAACTTAAAGCAATTTTGTCCTGCACCCAGCCTCTTGCTCCCTGTAAGAATTTTAGCTTGGTCGTAGTCTTTCTGGTTCTGCTGCTGCTTCAGTGGAAGCACGTGGGAAGATTCTACATGTTATCTGTGGGGTTACTTATGTAATAGATTGTTCTGTGCATCTCATGATACTCCCCAAAACAAAGACCTCAGCCCCAGGCGCCAGCTTTCTGACAGTGCCAAGACCTGACCTAAGGGGTCAGTCACACCACAGATTTCTGATTATAAGAAGGAAAACGGTGAGGTGTGAATGAGGATCACCCCAATAGAAGAGTTGAAGATGAGAAAAAAAGGAAGGAGAAAGAAAAGAAGAAGGAAGCTGGCTCAGGCTGCATCGGAGCAGGATTCTTTTTCATTCTCAGAGCCATGCAGATACAACTATGGAGGACACTGAAAAGCGAACGTCACACGTAACTGGTAGAAACACATAGTTTTTGACAGAAGTTGCCTCCCTGCTCTGGACTGGAGAGTCCTGACAGCAAATGCTTGCGGAGGATCATGGTTTGATAATTACAATGGAAAGGGTTAGTTAAGAATGACTGACTGACATCACGAAACAAATGAAAGATGACGAGGGTGGATTTTGAGCCCTAACTCTCCCACGCCAGGGAGAGGTTCGACACTCTCTCTGCCCCGAGGTGCCTGGGGCCTCCTCTTCTTGAGCTGTCATCTTTTACCCATTCACTTATCATTCTCTGCATCTCATTGTTCTCCTGTACTGATCCATGACTGAGCCAGAATGGATTCTTTCTTCAACTTGTTGTTTTTAGCTGTTGCCGAGAGCTACTGTCCCTCTGTAACTGTCTACCGTAGACAGACTCACCTTCAACTGTAGGTCCCCAGCTGAAATGATACCTGTCACTCATTTGCTTCTGCACGAATCTGTGTCAGACAAAACCTTAGAGAAGGGTCTGTCTTCTTGTTCCGCGTTACACTACATTCATGGTGTGGATTATGTAAAACATTCTGACATTTTGGCAGAAAGACAACTTTTACAATGGGGGGGACGGGATGAATCACTCTGTATAAATCATTGATTCTGTGTTATACTATTAGATAATCCTTAGAGTTTCATGTCCGCTTTAAGGGAATTAAACTTGAGATAACTAGGAGAAGTGCTATGAGGCAGCATTTGTAGAACATACATACTTCCAGGGGAATCCTTAGATAAGATTTTTGTCTGTACCCATGACTTACAAAGATTAATATATACAATTAAAAAATGTAAGAAAACATAAATTAAAATTGTTTAAACACTAGACAGAAGGAAAACAGAGTAAATAATCAAATGGATCAAGGAGTGAAGTCAGTACTAAATACATCCATGGAGTCTTAAATATTTGCAAGTAATGACTACGGATTAGTCTCTGAGCTTTCTAGTAGCCCAGATGAAGAGGCAACCATTATAATAGTTTGGTCATTTCAAGTTCATAACCCTGACCATGACTATTTAGGAGAATATACAGAATTTTATTTCAGTGAACATTCAATTATAATTGCTTCCAGTTCAACTCTGTGTACCCAGTGTTAGGCTTACATTCTATCCCTGACAGATGAAGAAGAGCTTAAACGTTCATTGCATGAAAGGAGGAATACATATCTTAGGTCAAA